GGGGGGGAGCAGGGGGAGAGGGGAGAAATGAGAAGAAGCAAAAGGAAGAACCACCAACGCGGACGTGGGTTTCTCGAAGACGTCGAGCAGCTGCCGCAGATGTTTTACGAATGGACCAAAAAGCCAGAGCCGGTCAGAAAAAGGGGATCGGCGAGGATTGAGGGGTGGCAAGGGAGGGGAGGGAGGGGGACGCATCAGAGATAATGGATACCTGTGCGTATACGCGTTAAGGTGTATAAGTGTGCGTGCGCGTGCCTCACAAGAAAAGCCCGTGGGCAATGCACAGCAGCTGTTTCTTCCAGCACCACCTTCACATCTACTTTCTTCATCATTCGGCTTTTTTTTTTTATTTCCTCGGGGATCCTTTGGATTACAGAGGACTCTTTGTACATCCTCGTGGGGGGATAGATTCATGGTTGAATGATATTTTTTTTAGAACTTTGGGGGTGTTTGAGGGAGGAGGGGGGATTTTTTTTTTTGGGAGAATCTTGTTGTTTTGGTGGCAATGATCTCGGGGGGTAATGAATTTGAGGGGAAATGGCGAGAGGGTTTTTGGGGGAGTTTTTTTTCGCGGTCTTCTTTTAAGAACAGTAGATGAAGAGAAATTTAAGGGGAAACCGCAGTGGAATTTTGACCTCGCTGGCGCATTCATCTATCGTGATGATGGGTTTATTACTGCGGTTTAATGAGGAAAAATAGGGTTTATTTTTTTTATAGATCAGAAAGAAGCTTGGGAGTCACTTTTGACTCAAATTTTAGTTCAAATTTTAGGTGATTAGTTAATATGTACATGAACAACTGAATGAGCTTTTTTTCATTTTTTTTGAGTTTTTGGAATTATTTTCTGAAAATTAGCGGTGAAAAATTTGAAAAATTATGAACATGAAACTACATCATAAATTGTTAAAGTAAATTTTTTCAAGTAGATTTTTAGAATTATTTATTCAAAATATAATGAGAAAAACTTATGCAAAACATCTGGAAAAATTCATACTTCAATGATTCACTATGAACTTGAATTAGAAAATTTTTCAGATTTTTTATCTGTAACAATTTTGATAAAAAAAATTGCAAAACCCCAAAAAATGCAAATTTTCAACAAGCCTCATTTATTTATATTTATGCACATATACTGAATTGTGTCATACGGAAACCTTTGACGATTTCATCCATAAAAAAATTAAAACCCAATTTTTTCTCGTTTTTTCACATTAAAATCAAGTAGTAAACGCATCATTACGATAAATAAGGATCTCACTCTGAAATTGTTGTTGCTTGATTGCCGAAATCATCTTGTTAAATATCCAAAATGTCAAGAGAATCTAGTGCACATTCGTTGAAAAATACTCGAGAAACCATTTTCATGAGAAAAAATTGTAAATCTTGTTCTCATCCATATGCGATACCTACCCTCAAACGGAAAAAAAAAACCATCGTATGGGTAACAAGTGTGCGATATGTACCGAAATAATAATCGAACAATACTCTAGTTAACTGGGTGACCGCCGAGTGGCCCCAAAACGAATAAAACAAGTTTTGAAAGGGGAGAGGGGTAGAGACACGCGTCTCAGGGGAGTTGACAGTGTTACTCGTGGAGTCGTTCTAACCGGCTCACCGCCACCCTTCGGACCAGATAAAAAAATAGAAGTAAAAATGGTGCGAGTCATTCAGTGCATCTGTCACGAATTGTCCCATTTTCCTTTTTCTCTATCTCGGATTTCTTTTTTATTTCCATTTCCTCGTGGGAGAGACAATCCGTTTATTGTCGAGTGGAAATCACGTGGTGGTGGAGGGGCTTTTTTTCAGCAAAAATTGGAAATAATAATGGTAAACAAGCGGGGGCTGACGTGGGTATCAGGAAACAGCTGTGAGGAAGCAGGTGGAGGTACCCCGTGAGCATCGGCGTGAGGTCGACGGTGAAATGCGCGTGGCCGACCGGATGCCACGGAAAATCTTTTAAAATGGGTCTTTCTGTCATTCTCATGTGTTGAAATGATTTTTCATTCTGTCAATCCGATTGTGCCCTTTTTCCCGCCAGATACGATATTCCTTTTTCTCAATTAATTGTTTATAATCATTCTCACTGCAAAAAGCAATACGACCGAGGAGAATCATATGTCCCAATTTATCAGCAGTTGAATTTTCGTATTACAATAAATGATTTGCTCTAATTCCTAGGCTCACTGAATAAGATTTTAATCATAATTACAATTCAATTCCTTCTAGAACACACTTTAGAGGGTGCATTTCTGGAATTCAATGGTTGTTGATACTCTGGTAAAAGTGTGTGTCCACACTGTTATCAATTTTTAGTCAGTTCACACGGTAATTCAATTAATCTGTTGTTCATCTCATCAATATAATTCCGTGCTTAGAATATTGTCATCTCGCGTTTTCAGCACCAAATTAAAAATTAAAACTTCATTTGGAATATTGAGTCACAGCTTCTTTTTATTCATATCAGAAATTTTGTATTTGGATTAATGATTAACAATGACGACTCATTATTGAATAATCATTGTCAAAATACTCCAAAAAGTAATAATCGAGGAGAAATAAAGACGATAAAATAAACAATAAACACGTGATGAATGAGATTGGCTCCTCAAGAATGTTTTTTAAAATTCAAAGGCTCGACGAGTTCCCGAATTTCAAGTTTATTGCTCGGAAATGCGGGCCTCGGCCACCGCAGGTCAGAAATCTCTCAGAAAAATTTTCGTCCCTTTCAAATGCGAGGGAGACTCGGGGTTATTGGTAGACCCAGACACGGATAAATCTTCAATATCTATTCCTCAAACACCAATATGTCCGTCTAGTCACGGTTTACGTGAATCCAAGAGGTGTGTTCTAGAAATTTCGGATCGAA